CCCCCCCCCAAATTCCCCTCTCTTCTCTCCAGCTTGTGGTCGCTCGAATGAATGGTTCCCTTTGAAGCATGCCATGTCTCAGCTCATAAATGTAACCCAGAGCATCAAAGTTACCCAGGCTTGGTGAGGCACAACACTGTTTCTCTCTCCTTTGACTGTAGAAGAAAAATGTCCTTTTCTCCCCCACCTCCAACCCCAGACACTCCTTGAACCCAAGGAGAAGAGACCTTTGGGGGCAGGATAGGGGGCTCCTTGGGGTCTTGTGGGGCTGAAGGGGAGACCCAGCTTGAATGAATGGGCTCCTCTTGCAGGGCTCAGTCCAGAGACAGAGGGCAGCCCCAGCCAGCCAGCCCAAGCCAGGGACATGCAGGGGTCATTGGTCAAGCTGCAAGGGATTGTGGCGAGGCATCCACTCACGAAATCCATCTCGACAGTGGGCGATGCTCGATCGTGACCTTGTCCCCGGAGCACTTGTCTCAGCTGGCTTCGGGACATGAACCTAGGCTGCATCTGCACTGCAGAAATAATCCGGGATGACACCACTTTTGACATGGCTCAGGGTTATGGAATTCTGAGGACTGGCGTTGGCTGTGGCACCTTTGGTGGACGCAGTCATTGCTAGATAAGTCTTCACAAGGACCAGACTTTAATGGTTAGTCCTTTTTTGCCACTAGAACTCCCAGGTTCATAGATCCCATTGAGCCTGACCGCTGCTATTGGACCAGAGTTTGGGGAAATGATTTCAGGAGACTATACCTCCCAGAACTATACCTCCCGGCTGGAGGATTCTGGAAGCTGTAGTACAGGGGTAGGCAACCTTTCTCCTTTAAGGGCCGAGGGACTTCAGTTCCCAGAAGCCTCAGCCATGTTGGCCAATAGTCCCATGTTGGCCAATAGCTCTTGGGATTCTGGGAGCTGAAGTCCCTCGGCCCTTAAAGGGGAAAGGTTGCCTACCCCTGCTGTAGTACAAAACAACTCGCTTTCCTAAACTCTGGCCCAGTATTAGTGGAAATTGAAGTGCCCCCCCCCCACCACTCCGGTTTAGGACTTCACTTTTGGTTTACTTTTAAAATCTGCTTCTTCCCTGGTTACAGCAGGGTAGATAAGAAGTAGAGGGCAGCCTTGCATAGTGGTTTGAGCATTGGACTAGGACTCTGGAGACCCGGGTTCGATTCCCAGCTTGGCCACGAAACCTCCTGGGTGACCTTGGGCAAGTCGCACTCTCTCAGCCTCAGAACAAGGCCATGG